GGGGGGGGGGTATGATTTCAGATAAATCAGCCATCAATTGATACATAAGAGGTACTAAATCACATTTACACACCATTCAAAAGACACATTAAAAAGCTAGGAAGGAAACAAAAAGACCAGAATAGATCATATCCAGCAACCAACGCTCAGTTAAGCAGGGATTAACACCTGGCAAACAAATCAAGTGGAAAACAATACTCTATTCAAGGAACTACCAAGGAGAAAACCACATCCTCACCAACAGTGGCAGGGCAACTTATTGTATTTTAAACAGGAATTAAAATTCCACATTCAGTAGCACTGACGATGTTACTTGGGTAATGAAAGGTCTGCCAGCAAACAACCAAGCTCAGCATCAAGGACTCCGCAAACTTTGTGTAACTTACATAAGGAGGGAAGTACTCCTGGAATTTATACTTGCAAAAATAGGGAATTACTGCACTTTTCCAGCGGTAAATAGACAATGCCACAACTGCTGTAGCAGAGTAGAGACTGATTATGCAGATCTAACAAACTGGGTTGGCATACTTTTGCACTGGAATGGAGGAAAGCACATTAAACTATTTTTTTTTCTTTGTATGGATTCCCTTCTACAAAAGTCTTGAGTTTGGCTCCTTGTTTTTATAGACAACTTCTAAGTTCTCTCAATGTGAAGGATATCAGCGTGAAGATCTTTGAGGATTTTACACGGACGTGGTCCTGGATTCTCATGTGAGTATTTCTTGCAGCAGAAGGAAATTGTCTGTGGGGGCTGAAGAAATCAAGAGGCCTTTGTGTAGGTTAGGTTATATATCAGTGATGGTGAACCTTTTGGTTGTGGTGTGCCAAAAGCACGTGTGTGCGTGCCAGCACCCACAATGCAATGTGCCCTGCCCCCTTGTGCATGCACGCCCAACACCCTCCATCCCCTTACCTGCGCTGCACATGCATGCGCCTCCCAGGATTTTCAGCCCGTTTGAGGCCTTTTTTTGCCCGAAACAGGCCTGTTTTTCGGCCTCCAAAGGCTGCAGAGGCTTCCCTTGAGCTCCCAGGAGGGCAAAAACGGCCTCCCCCGGGCTCCAGAGGGCCTCCGGAGGCTGAAAATGGACACTTCCAGTATTTCCGGAAGGCCCGTTTTTCGGCCTCCCGAGGCTGCAGAGGCTTCCCTCGAGCCTCAGGGAGGCCGAACACTGCCTCAAACGGGCTGAAAATCAGCTGGGAGGGGCGCGAATGCATGGTGCAGGTAAGTTTGGCTGGGACTCGTGTGCCCGCACAAATAGCTCTGCATGCCACCTGTGGCACACATGCCATAGGTTCACCATCACGGTTATATACTATGTATTATATTATATTGTGACTATATTGATTCTTGAACCTATAAAGCAGGGGTCCCCAACCACCGGGCCGCAGACCGGTACCGGTCCGTGGATCACTTTGTACCGGGCCGCAAAGAAAATAAAATAAAATAAAAATGGCGGCTTTCTTCACCTTCGGTGAATGCTGCTGGGATCAGGGATCAAGGACACAAAGGAGAGAAGGGGAGGGAGGAAGCAACCAAAGCCTGTCCTGCTCTCTGGCTCAGCGGCTTCGGTTTCCTCCCGCCTCGTTCCTCTCTCAGTCGCTCTCTCGCTCGTCCACCAGCCCAGGAAGAAACTGTTTCAAAGAAGCCGGCAGGCAGGCAGAACGGAGCACTGGATTGAACCGCGCGTGGGCGGCGGGGTGGGGGTGAACGGGCGCTTCAAAGGAGCTGCGCCGACAGGAAAAGCCACGCTGCCAGCTTCTTTGAAGCAGTTTCTTCCTGGGCTGGTGGAGGAGCGAGAGAGCAACTGAGAGAGGAACGAGGCAGACACCTGAGGGAGGGAGGGAGACACCTGAGGGATGGGGCTGAGGAAGGCAGGGCTGAGAGCCGTGGGCCGCCGCCGCCCAGCGCTCAGTTTTGAAGGCGCTCCTCAGCCCGGCGCAGTTCCTGAATCTGCAGCTGAAACCCTCCGTTTTAAATGTCCCAATAGAAGAGAATATCTGTCGCTCAGGGTTGCAATGAGGAGGCATTGGTGCTCCCTGAACTTGGTGGTTTGCTGGCAGACGTTTTATTACCCGACTAGGTAACAACATCATATGTTACCTAATCAGGTAATGAAACGTCTGCAACCAAACCACCAAACTCGGACTCCCCCCCCCCCGCCCGGTCCTTGAAAAAGTGTTTCTGCTTGAAACTGGTCCCTGGTACAAAAAAGGTTGGGGACCACTGCTATAAAGTATGGTGAGGTTTTTATTTTTTACGTTGTGTAAGCATCAATTGTGGAACTTGGCTTGACTTGGAATCGAACTACATTTTTCATATCCTTTTAGGGACCCTTCTTGCCTTTATGGTTGAACCAAAAAATCCTAAGGAAATTTCAGATGAATAGGTTTTTTTAGTACAGGTAGTCCTCGACCACAATTGAGTCCAAAATTTCTGTTGCTAAATGAGACATTTGTTAGGCGTCTTTTGCCCAAATTTATGACCTTTCTTGTCACAGCTGTTAAGTGACTCATTGCAGTTGGTAAGTTAGTAACATGGTTGTTAAGTGAATCAAGCTTCCCCATTGATTTTGCTTGTCAGAAGGTTGCAAAAGGGGATCACAGGACCTTGGGACACAGCAACGGTCATAGATATGAATCAGTCGTCAATCATCTGAATTTTGATTATTTTGACCACGGGGATGCTAGAGAGTGTTCCATGGGGATACTGCAATGATTGCAAGTGTGAAAAATACTGCATATTGTTTTGGTCATCGTAGTTAACAGATAACAGATAATCAGAGTTGGAAGGGACCTTATAGGTCATCTAGTCCAACCCCCCTGCTCAAGCAGGAGACCCCATACCATTTCTGACAAATGGCAGTCCAATCTCTTCTTGAAGGTCTCAAGTGATGGCGCTCCCACAACTTCTGAGGGCAAGCTGTTCCATTGGTTGATTGTTCTGTCAGAAAGTGTCTCTTTATTTCCAGGTTAAATCTCTCCTTGGTCAGTTTCCATCCATTGTTCCTTGTCTGACCCATAGGTGCTTTGGAGAATAGTTTGACCCCTTCCTCTCTGTGGCAGCCCCTCAAATATTGGAAGACTGCTATCCTGTCTCCCCTGGTCCTTCTCTTCATTAGACTAGCCATGCCCAGTTCCTGTAACCGTTGTTCATATGTTTTAGTCTCCAGTCCCCTAATCATCCTGGTTGCTCTTCTCTGTACTTTATTTCTAGAGTCTCAACATCTTTTCTATAATGTGGTGAACAAAACTGGATGCAGTACTCTAGGTGTGGTCTTACTAAGGCTTTATAGAGTGGTATTAGTACCTCACTTGGTTCAAAAAGGATTTTGAAGAGACTTCTGTTCAAAATGTGCTGCCCTAAAATGACTTATGGGGCATCTCCTGCATTTCTACAGCTAATAATTATTTTCCACAATAATTGTTACTATCAAAATTGGAAAGACAAGGTCACTGGTATTTTGATCACCCAAAAGAGCTTGTTCCTTGTTGGTTTAGATGACTTGGCACCCAAGAATATTCTGCTACCGTTTTCCTTTCTTATAGTGATAGTTCTGCCAGATGTTGAGTAAAATTTGACAACTATTCTCTCTGAGATTAAAGACATTATTAATGTTAGATCTGGAGGAGTGGGCGCAATAAAGGAGACGAGGCATCGATAGTGACTCAATTCAACTCTTTAATAGTGACTTCAGAACAGAGCAACAACTAGGGCAGCAGCAGCTCTTTTATAGAGCTGGCTGCTGTCACAACAACCAATGAAATTGAACTAACCGCTCTAAAAGCGTCCAATCAGAGACGGCCCGTTGTCAGCCAATCAGATCAGCCAGAATCGGCCAATCACGATTCGCTCATTCGCGGGCCAATCCGAAGTGCAGGATTACAAGCCTGCTGCTGAAGTAAGCTAGTATAGTTATTGTCAAATGAGTTTGTTTAGTTCGTAACAATTAATACTCTAAACCAGCAGTCACCAACCTTGGCAATTTTAAGCCATGTGGACTTCAACTCCTAGAATTCCTCAGCCAGACTCTAAGATCCCTGCTTTAAGCTCCAGAAGACACAATATCTCAGTTGAAAGTTGGTTGAAAGTCAAGGGATGCCTCTATAATTTATTTATTAAAGGTACTGAAAACTCTTCGGTACAAAATAACATCTTTGTTTCTCATTTTTTAAAGGCAGGAAGATTAGCTCCAAATTTGTCAGTCAAGTGGGCATTTCATGAACCATAACATAACTGAGAAAATCCTTCAGATTTGGGGTTTTATCTTCCTTCTCAGGAAGAGAGAGGGAGGAAGGATTAGACCAGGGGTCTCCAAACTTGGCAACTTTAGGACTTGTGGACTTCAACTTCCAGAATTCCTCAGCTAGCCATGCTTGGAGGTGATTGCCCCTCCTCTAAGGTATAAAGGAGGTGCAAAGGTAAAGAAACCTTTGCAGGAAGCAAAGTCATTCGCTCTGTTGGGATTAAACCTTGAAGCTCTGTGTGGACTTTGTACTTCGGTTGTTGTTGTTTTTTTGTACAGTTAATTTAGCACTTTAGTTGTTGGCAGCAATTCAAAGGAGAGAAAGGTGGGTGCTTATCTCGAGGAACTGTTTGGGACTCATTACGGGCTGGGAATACACATAATTCCCAGCGTTGAAATAAAACAATAGTTGTTTGAACTAAGCGTGTGCTTAATTCCAGGAAGCCTTGGTCAGAACATAGACAGAGATTAGAGTTTACAAGCAGAACAGGTGGAGAAGAAAGTCATGCCATCACATCCTTTCTTTTTTTATGCTTTTCTCTTTGCAGAGGTCTCCTATTTGCCATGTTGTTGAGCCTCCTGTTTCTCCTGCTGCTGAGATATGTCGCTGGTGTCCTGGTATGGATTCTCATTGTGGGAGTAGTAAGCATCATTGCATACGGTGAGTAACATGAGACCAAGTAGCTGAACTAAAAATCTTGATATACTGCACCAAAATGATGAATGGGCTACGGGTGCTACCATAGGCGATAGAAGTAGACAGTGGTTTGACGGACCTTTTTAAACCAGTCAGGTCCATCATGTCAATCATTTGGGAAATAGGCAAGGCCTCGTTAGCAATCATTCTGGGGTTTGCTATGACAGATGTTCCACATATATACCAAATAGGCTACCCAGTCTATAGATAGGTTTTTTTTCAACCTTAGCAAATTTAAGATGCATGGACTTCAATTCCCAGAATTCCCAAACCAGCCATCTTAAAGATTGCCAAGACAGAGAAACACTGTTATGGATATTTATACCTAGGCTAGGAAGAACTTCCTTTCTGTCCAAATCTTGAAAAACTGTCCATAACAAAATGTATAATGTTAGCCTAGATCTGGGTCCCCAAATTTGGCAACTTTTAAGATTTTAAGCATGGCTGGCTGAGGAATTCTAGGAGTTGAAGTCCACCAGTCTTAAAGTTTTCAAGTTTGGAGAGGCCTGGCCTAGATGATCAGAAATCTTCTATGTAGGCCAAAGCTTGTCCAGTTCTCAGAATTATATTTTCCACTGCCTATTCTATTCTATTCTATTCTATTCTATTCTATTCTATTCTATTCTGTTCTGTTCTGTTCTGTTCTGTTCCGTTCCGTTCCGTTCCGTTCCGTTCCGTTCCGTTCCGTTCCATTCCATTCTCTACTCTACTCTACTCTACTCTACTCTACTCTACTCTACTCTACTCTACTCTACTCTGCAATATTCTGCAGATTGTCCACTGCAGAACATTGATTCTCACACATACATGTACCTGCCAGGTGTCATAACCATAACATAAGCTATCTAGCATCTCTGAGTATATTTAGCAAGTAAGTGCAGTAAACAAGTAGCCAAGTTTGGTATGGGTGACCTGTGACTCTCCAAATGTTGGTGAATTCAGACCTTGCACCCTCAGCCCATTTGGCCAGTAGTGAGGGATGCCGGGACTTGTAATTCGGCAACATCTGAAGTGCCATGTTATCTTAACAATCACCAAGATATGGAGTCTTGGTGCCATCCTGTAGGCACATCACGCCACTGGTTGGTCGTTGGGGGAAAGAAGGTTGAAACGGGGGAAGGACTCTTCTGAAACAAGATGGCGGAGGGAGGGAAATAGGATTTGAAGAATGCTCTTGTTTAGTATTTTTTTCCATCGGTCTTTCTTTCCCCTCCCCCCCCTTCCAGGAATCTACCACTGTTACACAGAGTATGATATGCTCCAAAAGAAGGGAGCCACCATTCAGACCATTGGATTGACCACCAACTGGAGTGCTTATGGCAGTGTCAAGGAGACCTGGATGGCAGCCTGTAAGTCAGGGCAAAAGAGCAAACTTCTTTTGGCTTGCTTGGACAAGGGCACAGATACATGGCCTTTGGCGGATCTTGGGAATGTGTGGGAGCAGGACAAGGGCAGGAGCATCTGATCAAAGCAAAGAAGGAGCTGTGTTCCAGTGGTGTTATTCAAATTTTTTTTTTACTACCAGTTCTGTGGGCATGGCTTGGTGGGCTTGGTATGGCTTGGTGGGTGTGCCGTGACTTGGTAGGCATGGCTTGGTGGGCGTGGCAGGGGAAAGTTACTATAAAATCCCCATTCCCTCCCCACCCCACTAACCTGCTTTCCAGCTCCGTTCTCCTGTGCAGGGCAACAAAAGACTACCCAGCCAATCAGCTGGGACTCGGGAGGCAGAGAATAGATGGGGTCAGGGCCAGTCAGAGGTGGGATTTGCCGGTTCTCCAGAACTGGTCAGAACTGGCTGAAAACCACCTCTGCTGTCTTCCATGTATTTCTCTTCCCGCCTCCATAAGTTTTGCTTAAACCTCATCCTTTTTTTTTTTTTTTTGATATTCATTTCTCCAGTTCTTAATGAAATACCATTATTCCTCGGCTTACGACCACCATTGGAACCAGAATTTCCTTTAGGGAAGCAAAGCAGTCATTAAGCCAGTCGCACCGAATTTTTATGGCCCCTTTTGCAATGAATCGCTGCAGTTCATTAAATTAATTCTTGGTCATTAAGCAAATCCACCTTCCCCCATTGCACGCAATTGGCAAGTGAAACAAGTTTACTGCTACAACCAGCAGGAAGTTGCGAGTTGCAATTTTTTTGTACATAAGAAGTGCCTGTGCGTATGTTGTTGTTTTTTTTTAGTTTGGTATGCATGAGTAAATTCCAAAGGTAAGAGGACCAATATCACAGAAAGGATAAAATGTACTGTAATGATAAACTCTCCTTGTTCTAGTCTTGCCCCCTTTCTATTTTAAGCTATCCCATTTTTTTTTCTTAAGCCTCCTTTCTCTGCGGTTAAACGCAATTGCTCAGTTTTGGTCTACAATTATCAAGCAAGAGGCGTGAAAATGTTCTGTCTTTCTTTTTTAAATTGAATTTGCTAATAGAGAATGGAATTACCTTACCAGGTTTCCCATCCATGATTATCTTCTGCTTGCTGGACTGTGAACATTCCAGCTGTTTTGAGGTTCTAGACTTCTGTCTTTGGGAAGATCCAGACAGAAAGGCTGGCTGGCTCTGTCTGTCTGTCTGGATGGATGGATAGAAGGAAATGTGTGTGTATGCATAAGCATGAGCGTGACCCATTTTATTATTTGGGAACACATTTGCACCAACTGTGACTTAGAAACGCAAGATTACAAATGGATAACAGGTCAGTGATGGTTTTGATCTTCCCAATGCTCATTTTGAACCATCCTCGCCCATTATCGTAATCCATAATAATCTTCTCCATAGACATCTATGGAGATTCTCAGTCATCCAGGTCACGGTTGTCCCAAAGGTGCTTTTTTCAAGAGGCAACTAGACTTTCTGGTTTTTCTTTGAAGACTTTTCGCTTCTCAGCCAAGAAGCTTCTTCAGCTGTGATTGGATGGTGGGGAATGGAAGGATTTATACTCCTTGCAGACAGTTGGTTATTTGCATCCTTTTAGAAAGTCATTGAGGCCACCTGAAGGTTTATCTGGGTCCTCAAGGTCATCTGAGTGGTGCAAATGGATGTGGACCCTTCTTTGAACTGTTGAAAGCACTTTGTCGTAGACTGAAAATAGGTGATGTCATAACTCCAATCTATAATACAGTCCTTTCAACCATTCCAAGAAGGCTCCACACCCATTTGCACCACTCAAGTGACCCTGAGGACGCAGATAAACCTCCAGATGACATTAATGATTTGCTAAAAGGATGCATGTTAGGAATATGAGTCACCTAACAGGTATTTGGGTTAGAAATATATAAACCAGGATAAACATTTTAGTACTATGTCTTTAAGAGATTGTAAAAACTGCAATTGGGTGTGGTTTTTCAAACGGCCATAAGATGGAGCCAGAAACCTGGGTTGTTTTAGTCTTAATCTCAGAAGAGAGTGTGTCTCCGTCTCTGTTTCCTTCTGTTGGAAAGTATTGCCGTTGCTCCATTTCTTCTAATTGACTGATATTCATGGATTTAATGTAAGTCTGATACTGAACTGCTTTTGACACTGGACTTTGATATTTGGATTATCCCTGAATTGAAAACTGACTGATTTAACTTGTGAATGACTTTGTATTGCCTATTTTGGACTTTGCTTAAATCTTTCTGGAAGTAAAAACCCACATTTACTGTACAGTGTATCTGTGTACTGTGTGTGTATTATTCAAACACTTCTCTCAAATACGTCTCCCTGTATGCGCTCATTCTCCTAACGGGGAATTACCTCAACAATGCAAATGAACAGCTGACTGCAAGGAATATAAATCCTTCCATTCCCCACCATCCAGTCAGAGCTGAAGAAGCTTCTTGGATGAGAAGCGAAAAGTCTTCAAGAAAAACCAGAAAGTCAAGTTGCTTCTTGAAAAAACACCTTTGGGACAACCATGACCTGGATGACTGAGAATCTCCATAAATGTCTATGGAAAAGATTATTATGGATTACGATAATGGGTGAGGATGGTTCAAAATGAGCATTGGGAAGATCAAAAACAATTATTGGCCTGTTACCCATTTGTAATCTTGCATTTCTTAGTCACAATTAGTGCAAATCTGTTCCCAAATAATAAAATGGCTGAAGCTCATGCTTATGCATACATACACACTTCCTTCTATCCATCCATCCATCCATCTATAATACTTTTCTGCACTAAAAGCTACACTAGGTGCAATACTATATTACAGGTATTCCTCGACTTATGACCACCATTGAGCCTAAAATTTATGTTTGCTAAGTGAAATATTTCACCCCATGGAAGGCTGCGGAATTTGAGAGTTGAAGTCCACAAATCTTAAAGTTGACGAGTTTGGAGACCCCGAGTTAAACCATTGTTTGGGTTAGCAAGAGTTCTTTAACATCGTTCAGTTGATAGAGATACTATTACTACATTTGTACTTAGACATGGTCACACTAGGCCGTGGTTTACACATTTGGTGGGCGATTTCACACCTCAGGATCAGCTTCAATGAAACAAATCCCATGATGGCCTTCGCTTGGGGTGGTTTGGCCCAAAGCTCTTCCCAGCTTCTTTTGAGGCAGCTGCAGTCAAACCGCAGTCTCCTTTCTCTCTCCCTCCTCCAGTGATTGTCCTCTGTGTGACGGAAGCCATCTTGCTGCTTAGTCTTGTGTTCCTCCGCAACCGGATCTTCATTGCCATTGCGCTTATCAAAGAAGCCAGCCGGTAAGTGGACTCCTGCAATACTTTGGTGCCATTGCAGTTTTAGGTTCTGGATGGGGATCTGAGGAAGAGACTGATAGTTCTCCATTGTCTCTTTCTCCAGAGCCATTGGACATATGATGTCCACCCTCATCTACCCACTGCTGACTTTTATCTTAATCGTGATCTGCGTGGCCTATTGGGGCATGACGGCTCTGTATCCTTTCCGATGATGCTGTGATGTTTTATTTATTTATTGCATTTATATGGTGCCCATCTCACTCTAAAACAACACTGGGAGGCTTTTTCGTGCTTTCCTTTGAGAGAATCAGCCAATGTCAGATCTGTATATGGTAATGATGATGATATCAATTCAGTCATAACTGACTCTTGGCAATTCTATGCTCAAGATCTCTCCACATCATCTAATCTTGCAGTGCTTATTTGAGTTGTTCTATGCTCTGGCTGGCATCAGCTTTGATAGAGTTCAGGCACTGTGTTTTTGGGGGTCTAGGACCACTTGCCACAGCCAACTCACTGTGAGGCAACTTACCATGGCCAACCCGTCGTGGGAAAACTTGCCGTGGGACAAGAGTTACGCTAATATTGAAGAAACGAATAGGATCATTAAAGAAAGAATGCTAAAGGAGGGACAAAATGAAATGTGAATGACAAAAATTGAACATTATTTTTTTAAAAAAATATTTCAAATAATTGAATTGTTGAATTGCCCTGCGGCAAGTTCTGCAGCGAGTTGGCTGTGGTGAGTTGTCGCACAATGAGTTGGCCATGGTGACTTGGCCACCGCGAGTTGGCCGTGGTGAGTTGGCCATGGCAAGTTGGCCACGGAGAGTAGTCCATTCCAGTTCTTTGGCAGGCCAGTTTTCTTTTACTGTTCTGTACACAAAGTGATCACAACGCACCTTTCTCTCCTGCCTGTCCTTGAACCTTAAGTTTGAAAATAAGGAATTTGTTACAGCTAGCCCATGATTTATAACGCGTCGCTTAATGAAACATAGGAAACTGATATCACACAAAAAAACCAATGGTCCTTTGAGTCTGTTTGTTGTCTTCTTTTTAATTTATTGATTTATTCATTATTTTTAATTATTATTTTTATATTTTATATTTAATTTTATTTTTTGTCAGATGATTGACCTGTGTTTATCCCAAGCATGTTTAAACTCAGTTGCTGAGTTACCGCCTCTGCTGGAAGTTGGCTCCAAGCTTTCACTGCTCTTTCTGCCAAGTAATGCTTTCTAATCTTACTTTTGAACTTCCCTCCTGTCAGTCTGAGGTGTTATGCTCTGATGTCCTTGACTTTTGCTTAATGTTGAAAATAATGCCTTCTAGAACAGCGGTCCCTAACCTTGTGGGCCGCGTGGCCCACTAAGTGGGCCCTGAGGAGTTTGCAACTGAGCCGCTGAAACAACTGACGAGCTCACGCGCTCTCCGTTTGCGTGAGTGGCAGGTGTATGTGCATTCATGGAAATAGAGCTGCACACGTGTGTGGGCTTGCTGGCCGCTTGCACAAACCATTCCGTTCCCCCGCCACCACCGTCTGTCAAGCGGGAAATGTTGGGGAACTCCGTCCTAGAACCTTATTCACAACTGTAATATATTTAAAGGTTTTAATCATGTCTCCCCATTTGCCTTCTGTCCTCCAGCTGTACATACCCAGTTCCTCCGATCACTCCTGATATGTTTTGTCCTCCAGACCTTGAACCATTTAATGACCGTTCTCAGGCCTCCCCGTAGCTACTTATGACCTGTTTTCTGAGATACAGTGGACCCCCACATACCTGCCATCATGTGATCATTTTTGGGTGCTTGGCAAGCAGTTCACTTTTATGAGTGTTTGCACAATCATCCCACAGTTATGTGACCCTTCGTTGCTGGTTTCCGATGTTTACTTCCAGTTTCCGGGGGAAAAGGTCCATTGGGGGAAATGGGTTCAATTTAACAACTGCGGCATTTGCTTAACAACAACTCTTGTAAGAAATAGTCTGTAACTTTGAATCCGGTCACATGATGCCTCGACTTATGACTGTAATTCCAGGCTCAATTCCAGTCATAAGTCGAATAATGCCTGTATTTCTTAATTTTAGCAGCTAAAATAACAATGGCCTTATTGTTGGAAAACCTACATAGTCTTAACAATCGAGGTATGGATTAAATAAAGTTTTCACGAATGATGCTGAAAATAATTTAGATAGAGTTTTAAAAAAAGGGAAATATCAGAGGCAGGAACTACAGCTATCAAACTTGGGAACAAAGTTTATGTAATGCTACAGACATATCAACCATGCTTATGAAGTATGAATGTGGTTTTTGTTTCTCTCTATTTACTTTTTGGTGGATGGTTGTTTTTTTTCCTATGCATCACGGATTTATGTCACCCAGTTACTTGATAAACAGGTTGTTAAAAAAAAAGAAGTGTAAACAAAGAAACAAGGAGAGAAACAGCATTGCAATTGGAAAAAAAAGAATTAAAATGGCAAACAATATTCTAAGAAGTCATAGAATTGTTGCCAAGTAATGGTATGAAGACATTTGCTTTTTCAGACTGCAGATGGCAAATTATATTTTTTTTAAATGCTTCCTTGCATAAATACAGTATATTGTCTTTGCTATTTACAAAACACAAGCAAATATGTGCCTCTGTGTGTTGTTCATTTAAAAGCATTACTCTGGAAGTTGTCCACACGTAGTTTGAAAAGGTATACTCTCTTGGAAGTTTTATATGTGTGTGTGTGTGTATGTGTGTGTGTGTGTATACACATATAAAATTTCCAAAATAGTATATCTTACACACACACACACACACACACACACACACACACACACACACAGGTATACAATGTTTTATTATATTCACCTGTAATCAGTGGTGGGCTTCAAAAATTTTAGCAATGGGTTCTCTGCCCGGTTGCTGGGTGGGCATGGCCATGCTGGGCGTGGCCTAGTCGGCCTTCTGCACCATGGCAGGTAGGAGCATTTTTGCCCTCCCCGGGCTCCGGAGGCTTTCCTTGAGTCTCCGGGAGAGTGAAAACAGCCTCCCGGGCTCCGGAGCAGGGGTGGGATTCTACCAGTTCACACCTATTCGTTAGAACCGGTTGTTAACATTCTAAGCAGTTCGGAGAACCATTGTTAGAATAAATTACTGGCCTAATCCTGTAAGGAAGGCAGTAAGGAAACATTCTGGTGTTGCTTACAGAAACTGCCTCTCCGTTAACATTCTTGGCAGGACTAGACTTCCTGTCTAAGGAACGTCTCTGGAGTTTTTTTCCCCCTCCTTTGCTTGTGTGGAGTGACCATTCAAAGCTACAGTGGCACTGAAAAAAGTGACTTATGACCATTTTTCACACTTACGACTGTTGCAGCATCCCCACAGTCATGAGAGGCCAGGTGAGGAGATGCGTGCCTCGATGTGAGTGATGTTGAGTTGGCCACGCCCAGCCAATAACATGATCACCAAGCCATGTCCACTCAGTCACATGGCCGTCAAGCCACGCCCACCGCCTAAGCCACACCCACAGAACCGGTTGTTAAAAATTTTGAATCCCACCCCTGCTCCGGAGGCTCTCTGGAAGCCGGAAACAAGGCCCATTTCCAGCCTTCCCGAACTTCCGGGAGGCCCGTTTTTCGCCCTCCCCGAGCTTCCGTGCACGCCCTGCACTTACCTGTATCCAAAACGGGCTGTGTGGGGACTCCTGGGAGGGAGGGGGAGGGAGGGGGCAGCCAGGAGTGGGATTTGGAGGTTCTCCGAACTGCACAGAATCTTAACTAGGGTCTCTCCCGAACTCCTGTGAACCCCCAGCAGCCCAGCCCTGGCTGTAATCTAATTTCTGTGGCTGTGGGGTCCTTGATGTGGGGTTTGGTTGCTTTCTTGCAGACGTTTCATTACCAAATTAGGTTACACCATCAGTGCTAAAGAGTGTGGGGTTTACATACAGCAACTTGCCCTGCCAATGTTGGTGGCAGCGGTTCCGTGTTTAAGATAAAAGTTTTCTGCTTTTCTGCTTCGGTTTCCAGTTTCAAACAATACCTTTCATCATGGAACCAGCAAGGAGAAAAAACCCGCACCCCCACCAAAACTGGCAGGGCAAGCAGCTATAAGGGAGCAAGACAGATAAATAGGGATAAATAGGAAGCAAAGCAAACCCCACATTCACTTGCACTAATCCTGAAACCAAGTTCCTGATTTACTAGTCACTAATGAAACATCTGCAAACAACCAAGCTCAGAAAACACCAAGGATTCCATAAATTACAACTGTTATTTTATATTCAGGGCTAACGTAATCTTTGAATCTTTGAACATTTGGAGAATATTTATTTAGGTGTTTTTTTTTCATAGCTACATTTATTATTCAGTGTATAACCTGGTGGTAATTGTTGATGCTGTACATTGTGCCCTTGATGGGAGAAAGTTAGGCCAGAAATAGATCCAAGGCATACATGAGATAAATTAAAAGACCTGGCTGTATTTCATTGTTTGACTGTTGGCATTCAATGTCTCATTTCAGCCTTCCCGCTTCCTTGCCAGGGTATAAGGACAAAGGCAAAGAACGTCCTCAATTAAAGCATTCAAATGCAGGTGGTCCTTGACATACAACGGTTCATTTAGTGACCGTTTAAAGTTACAATGGCACTGAAAAAAAGTTTCTTACGACCATTTTTTTTCCACACTTACAACCTTTGTAGCATCCCCATGATCATGCGATTAAAATCCAAATCCTTGGCAACTGATTCGTATTTATGACCGTTGCTAGGTCCCAAGGTCATGGGATCAGCCTTTGACAAGCAAAAACAATGGGGAAGCCAGATTCACTTAACAACCATGTTACCAGTGGTGGGATTCAATTTTTTTTTTTACTACCGGTTCTGTGGGGGTGGCTTGGTGGGGAAGGATAATGTAAAATCTCCAGTCAGAGGTGGGATTTGCCGGTTCTCTGAACTACTCACAATTCCCGCTACCGCTTCTCCAGAACTAGTCAGAATCTGCTGAATACCCACCTCTGCATGTTACCAACTTATCCACTGCTGCCATTCCCTTAACAAGAAAGGTCGCGAAATGGGGCAGAATTCACTTAACAACAGAAATTTTGGGCTCCGTTGGGGTCATAAGCCGAGGACTTCCTGTATCGAGGTATCAAACGTCAAGTTCGATAGTCTGAATTATGGTTTCGGAAAGGCTGCATTCAAATCCGGAGTGGCAAAAATGGGGCATTTGTATAGTTTTGGTTCAGTCCTCCTTTGCAATATTTTCCAGTGGCAATACATTTTGTGTTCCCAACTGCAGGATGCCAGGGTTGTGTCCCATCCCATAATACCCTCTCTGGAGTGGTGACGCTACAGAGCACTGCGTGCCAAAACAACCAGACACCGTGGCAGTTTTTTCTCTCATGCCACCGCTCTGCTGAACACCTAATTCCCACAGTACTGCCTTATGTCTTCACGATATTAATCCATGTTGTATGGCTGTATTTTATCCCTCTCAACTGTTCCATTGCCTTCTCTTATTGATATCATTATTATGATTATTATTACTTTGATATTATGATTACGATTATTGTTTCTATTATCTTTATCATTAATTGGTTGTTTTGCATGTACGTATGCTCATGAGAGCCATGGTGGCACGGTGGTTAGAATGCAGTTGTCAACTCATAAACATTTCTATGGCTGTTTTGCCAACAGAAAGGGAGGGGGGAAAGGGGTTTGAAAGAGCAGTGTGGAAGCTTGGAAATCGAAAGTGCATTCCATGCATAGTTTTTCAAAGATTGTAATGTGGTGACTGAAGTTTCTGCCACGCAAAAACCTAACTGGAGAACGTGATGGATGACTCTTGGCTGTGGACGTGTTTCGTGTTTCGTTGGAGAATATGAATTGTGATACACCTATGGTGAGGGGGGGGGAAACCAGGGTCAAGGGTGACAGTGAATTATGTATCTCAAGAGTCGGCTACACCCAGGTCATGCCAACATGTTAAACTCTCAATAAATCCTGTTTTAGTTTTGGAAGTTTGGCTCGAGACATGATTTAATTGGGATAACTGCCGGAATCCTGACAGCAGTATTGCAGGCTAAATCTGCCACCTGTCAGCAGTTCAATTCCAACCAGCTCAAAGTTGACTCAGCCTTCCATCCTTCTGAGGTCAGTAAAATGAGGACCCGGACCGTAGGGGTTAATATGTTGAGTCTATAAACCGCTTAGGGCTGTAAAGCATTGTGAAGCAATATGTAAGTGCTGTTACTATTACACACCAGAGGCAAATTCCTTGTGTGTCTAATCACACTTGGTTAATGTTCTATTCTATTCCGCATTGTGAAGGACAGAAAGGGGATATTTTGGTTTGAAAATCTTCCTTGACTGTTTTCCATCTCTCAAGATATCTTGCTACTTCCGGAGAGCCCCTTTTTCGTGTCGCCCCAAGAAATGACTCTGGCCCAGGCTGTGAAAAATATCGTGGCAATGAAAGTTGCAAGCCACTGGTAAGTGGGTCAGATGCAGAACCACAAAGTATCTTTGGTCAGGGAATTGTGCAGCAGCTTTTCAGGTGAAGTCGGAGACACTAATACAAACTTGTAAGTTAATCATAATCCAGAAAGAGAAAAAACATAAGATAGTCGGGAACCTCATGAGGTAAATTAAACAGTATACCGATCGCACACAAGGAAAAGGCAGAGGAAAAGGGCAACTCTGCCTCCACATCCAAAGCAACCAACCCACAGCGTAGACTGCAACCATGCATGAGTCCACACACTCCGAACTATCAACTGCAGCTGTGTCCTCTGGCCCACTGTACACTTCATTGTTCATCATCATCTTTTAACGACCCCATAATCCCATGCAGGGTAGAGTCTGGGCAACCGAATGGAGTTGAGTATTTACTGGCCGGCTGCCCTACCTGTTGCCAATGCAGAGTTATATTCAGCAGATATATTCTCATCATGCCCAGAGAGAGAAATACCTAGGATCGAACTCACAGCCTCCTGGTTGCGAGGCGAGAGCTCCACCTCTAGGCCACCGTACCACTCAGTGTTCCAGCTACTAACTAAATGCTTACATCTTTGATCCCCAGAGCCATTTTGGCTAGTCCTTTAGCCATTGGAATATGATGAACGATAGCATCATATTTTGGGAACATCTCTGTTTTTCTTATGATGATGCTTTGGTGTTAAGGGGGACAGAAGCGCATGAAGTAGTCTCGCAAATGAATCGGATGCCTTTTGGCCACAGCACCGTTTTTTTTCAAAGTTTAGAATGATTGGGAGGAAACGGATCCTGTTCTTCCAGAATAGAAATTTCGGGAGCCGAATAAAATCAGTTCAGTTCTGGATAACCGAACCTCATGTCGCCTGTATCAGAAATGGGTAATCCAAAGCTTTTACGTTGTAAACAGCTCCTCTCCCGGTTCTGCATGCTCTCCTCTATCCCTAATATCAAGCTTATAGCAAATCGGCCAGAGTGGAAAATAAATGCCAAGCAAGATGGACATTATTTGTTTACTTTATATGCTGCCCATCTGATTTTTTTGGCAACTCTGGGAGGCTTTTAAAATGACTCAAAGGTGTGTGTGTGTATGTGTGTGTGTGTGTGCGTGTATGGTATATGGTATTCAGCTTTGTTCGGGTATTTTCCCACGTCAGTATAGTTGTGCTTTTAAAGTTGTAGCAACGTTTCGGCAGAATCTCATCTGCCATCATCAGGCTTCTGTATTGTGTTCGTCTGTGAGTCAGACTTTTACAGTTGTTTCAGTTTTAAATTTGGGGCTAGCCTACTGCTGTGCCAGAATGGTTTTTTCTTCATCCTGATTGGTTGGGAGTCTTGGTCTGTGTTTATTGGTCTTGGAGTTTGCTGGGTTCTGCTTGATTGATGTTTCTAATATCTTCTGTCTGTTTTGTGGCTTTTTTTTGTGTCTTGATTGGCTGGCAACATCGTGTTCCTGTATTGGAGGCTTTTAGTGCTCCGAGTAAATGGACGGCTATCATTTGTTAGGAAGCTAGGTTTCATCTGGGTGCCTGGTTGGGGTGTGTTTGAGCTGGAGGTATCGGGGGGATCTGTCTGTGCCCAGGTGTTTGCCTGGCTAGTGGTGTGGAGATTTTTTTGTTTGTGAGTGCAGGCTTCCAAATAATTGACAGTCTGGTGGAATCATCTCTTCTATTCATGCTTTCAGGTCTTTTTTTCAATCTCTATGGCTTCTCTGATAATTCTGTGGCTGGGGTTTTCTATAGTGGCTAGGGTTTGGGTGCCATTGAAGTTGATGCTATGACCTGTGGCTTTCATGTGTTGGACTAGTGAGGAAGTGTGTTCCAGCTTTTTTACTGCATTTTTGTGTTCATCCAGGCGGGTACTTATTCTTCTATTGGTCTGTCCAATGTATGTGGCCGGGCATGATGCACAGGGGACTTCTTATATGCCTTGGTTTTCCAGGTCAATTTTATCTTTGGGGTTTCTAAGGATGGCTGCTATTTTTCTGTCTGTTTTGAAGGCAGTCTTGATGTGATGCCTGTGTAGTATCTTACTGATTTTTTCTGTAGTACCTCTTATGTAGGGCAGGACAGCTGTTCCATAGGTCTGTTCATCTTCTAGGTCTCCATTATGTCTCAGTGTGTTTTTGTGGACACAAAATCACCCACAAAGGCCACACAAGATGCTACCACCACACTTCCACGTAGAAAGCAGATTCACACCCACACAGATGATGAGACACGACCACGGACCAGAAGCCGTACCACAGCTGCATCACTACCCGCTTCAAACCCCTTCGACCCATACATGAAGTAAACTGACGCCCAACATGAAGATGTGGCACGACCACGAACGCGAAGCCAAACAACAGGATCACAGCTCACCAGCTCAAATCCCCCGACAACTAAGACTAACCTGAACACAGCTAAGCCCCCACCTGAACAGAACACACCCCCAGCCAATCAAAACACAGCCAACTCCCCAGCCAATCAGAACACAGCCAACCCCCAACCAATCAGATCACAGCCAGGCCCTCAACCAGTGAGAACACACCCCCACCCAATCAGAACATAGCCAAGTCCCCACCCAGTCAAGCCGCACTCCCACTGGCAGTTAAAAGAAAAAACAGCTGCAAGCTCACATTATTCCAAGAAGCACAAAGCTGAAGACACAAGCCTGAAGATGATGAATGAGATTTTGTAGAAACGTCGCCAAAATACTTGCAATTTTACGCAGGATAAAACCCAAATAACCAAAGATCCACATACAAATACCCGCGAAAACCTCAGAAAACAAATATATGTGTGTGTGTGTGTTTTGTATTCAGCTTTGTTCGGGTATTTTCCCACGTCATTATAGTTGTGCTTTTAAAGTTGTAGCAACGTTTAGGCAGAGTCTCATCTGCCATCATCAGGCTTCTGTGTGACAAACACTATACAATACAGAATACAGACAATACAGAAGCCTGATGATGGCAGATGAGATTCTGCCGAAACGTTGCTACAACTTTAAAAGCACAACTACAATGACGTGGGAAAATACCTGAACAAAGCTGAATGACATACATACATACATACATACATACATACATACATACATACATACATATTCACACACACACACACACAGAGGTGGGATTCAAATTTTTTAACAACTGGTTCTATGGGTGTGGCTTAGTTGATGGGCATGGCTTGGTGGTCATGTTATTGGCTGGGTGTGGCCAACTCAACATCACTCACATCGAGGCACGCATCTCCTCTCCTGGCCTCTCATGACTGTGGGGATGCTGCAACAGTCATAAGTGTGAAAAACGGTCATAAGTCACTTTTTTCAGTGCCATTGTAACTTTGAATGGTCACTCCACACAAGCAAAGTACCAGCAAAGGAGGGGGAAAAAACTCCAGAGAAGTTCCTGAGACAGGAAGTCTAGTCCTGCCAAGAATGTAATAAGGGTTAACGGAGAGGCAGTTTCTGTAAGCAACACCAGAATGTTTCCTTCCTGCCTTCCTTACAGGATTAGGCCAGTAATTTCTTCTAACAACCAGTTCTCCGAACTGCTTAGAATATTAACAACCGGTTCTAGTGAATAGGTGCGAACTGGTAGAAATGAAAAAGATTAAATAAGAAACTAAAAATCTGTAGGAGAAGAGCAGGCAGAGCTGGAAGGAGGAGTTAAATAGATCATTAGCTTAGAGTCATTAAATTCCCACAAATGATCCAGGTTTAACCTCTCTTGAATTCCGTTGACCGTTATCTGGCATTTGACAAGATCTTATGTATATGCTGGAGCAATAAATCTTTTGAACTGCAACTTAATTTGTGTCCAGTTTCTTCTTAAAAAACTTCCAGTGATGAAGCATCTACAACTTCTGACAGCAAGCTGTTCCACTGGTGAATTGTTAGGGACCTCTTAGGAAGTTTCTCCTTAATTCTAGGCTGTTTCTCTCCTTGATTAGTTTCCATCCATTGTTTCTTGTTCTGCCTTCTGGCGCTTTGGAAAATAAATTGACCCACTCTTCTTTGTGGCAGCCTCTCAAATAACAGAATACTACTATCATGTCCCCCCTAGTCCTTCTTTTCTGTAGCCAAATCCAAATCCTGCAACTGTTCTTCCTATGTTTTAGACTCGAGGCCCTTAATCATCTTAGTTGCTCTTCTCTGCACTTTTTCCAAAATCTCAACATCTCTTTTTGGTAATGAGGTGATCAAAACTGGATGCGGTATTCCAGGTGTGGCCTTACTAAGGCTTTATAAAGCTGTACTGCTACTTCACGTGATTTTGTTTCTATGCCTCTGTTTATACAACCATGGATTGTACTAGACTGTATTCACTTAACAGCTGTGGCAAGAAAAGTCATAAAGTGAGATGAAACTCACCTCTACAATTGTCTCACTTAACAACAGAAATTTGGGGCTCCATTGTGGTCGTCAGCCAAGGACTACCTGTATCACACGTGTCTTGTTCTTTCTTTTCTCAGGATTTCAATGCCTCCGCCAGTCTCCCTTGCGTAACTGAATGCATCTTCTACAGATATAATGATGAGGGACTTTACCAGCGCAACCTCTTCAATCTTCAGATCTACAACGTTGTGGGCTTCCTTTGGTGTATCAACTTCGTCATTGCTCTGGGGCAGTGTGTACTCGCGGGAGCCTTTGCCTCTTATTACTGGGCCTTCAAGAAGCCTCAAGATATCCCAGCCTGTGCCCTGTCTAGTTCCTTCCTCCGGACATTAAGGTGCGTAGTTTGGGGAGAAACGTCTGTGGAGATTCTCAGTCATCCAAGTCATAGTTGCCTCAAAAATGCTGCCAACTGTCCAGTTGGCGAATCCAGAAAAAAAGGAAGTACTGGGAAATTATTTTAGCAGGAGTATAAAACTTTACTGAATAAACCACGTTGGCACAGAAGAAGCGAAACCCACTCTGGGTTTCCTGCACAATGTCCTCCTTCACCCACTGTCCATAACATCCACCAATCTCTTCTGTTCGTTATGTGATGGGAATCAGGTAGCCACGCTGGGAAATCTTCTCGGTGTGTCCTTGAGATGCCAGCAGTGCCTCACGGAAGCCAACGGATGCTTGAATACCATTCTCCCTGACATTTCATCCACCACCCCCCACACACACCCGTTATTGTATTTACAATGGTTTCAGCATGGTGGATTTTGGGGGTAGGCTTAAATTTTTTTAGCAAGGGGCTCTCTGTCCTAATGACTGGCTGGGTGGGTGTGGCTGGGTGGGCATGGCCAACTCGACGTCGCTTCTTTGCCCTAACTACCTAAAAAAAGACATATACCAAAAAGTTGTTTATTATTTTGTGCATTTAATATTTAAATCAAAGACTGGGTGAAACCAAGCTTAATAGTGAGAAGGATCTTGGAGTCTTAGTGGAGTTTCTGGTGAGTTACGTGATTCTTATTATTGGGGAATTAATCCCTTCAGAGGCTAGTGGCTATGTTGTCTGATTTTCTGTCCCTCATAAGCACTGAGTGGATTGTTTATCTAGCTTGCAACACTTTTACGAGGTGTGAAATGCTCTTGGCTGAATGCCCAGAAGTTCAATTGAGCCTATTAAAAGCTTTCCCTTGCTGCTTGTCTTTCTGAGGTTATTGGGGGCTCTCTGCCTCCAGCAGATTTGCTTAATGACCACACAATTTACTTAACAACTTTCTAAGCAAAGCAGTTGTTAAACGAGCCACCTCTGATTCTTCTATGACCTTTTTGGCCATAGTTATTAAGCAAAACACCGCAGTTGTTAAGTAAATTGTGTGGTCATTAAGCAAATCCATTATTTTTGCTTGTCGAAAGCCATCTGGGAAGGCTGCAAGTGGTGATGATATGATCTTGGGATGCTGAAACCCTTGTAAATACTTGCCTCTTACCAAGCAACCAGATTTTGATCCTGTGACAGTCATAACTGCGAGCACCGGTCATAAGTAACATTTTCCATAATAACTTCAAATTGTCACTAAATCTGGTTTAAAGGTGAGGACCACCTGTATGTGAATTCTTCTGCCTCTATTTTAGTTTCCTCAAATGCATCTTCATTTTTAGTTTTTTTTTTTAATGGAACATGTAAGTGCAATCTCCTCTGATTTAGAGCCACTTTGGCCTAGTGCAGGGGCGTCAAACTCACGGCCCATGGGCCGGATCTGGTCCACAGGATGCGTAGATCCAGGCCGCCCAGGAGTGCCTGTGCCAGCGAAAATGGAACCCAAGGTGCGTTTTCTATGGCAGAGGGCTGCAGGAGGCCGTCGCAGCCAAAATTGGGGCCCTGGGGGGGGGCACTCTGATTTTGCTCGGAGGGGGCTAGCAAAACAAACTAAGAACAAAACAAAAGGAGAAATGCTTCCCCTTTTGCATTCCAGCATGCAAAAAGGGACAGGAAAGGAGAAAGGGAAAGAGGAAAGACAAAGAAAAAGAAGGGAAGATGGGAAGAGAGCAAGGAAGACAAAATAAAGAAAGAGGGGGAAGGAAGAAGGAGAATGAATAGGGAGAGGAAAACAAGGGAAGGAAGGAAGGAAGGAAGGAAGGAAGGAAGGAAGGAAGGAAGGAAGGAAGGGAAGGAGAATCGGTTCTGGTGGCCTAGAGGTGGAGTTCTCGCCTCACAATCAGGAGGCTGTGAGTTTGATCCTAGGTAGAGCTCAATACTTGGAATAGATTCTCCTGCTTGTGCAGGGGGTTGGACTAGATGACCTCCAAGGTTCCTTCCAACTCTGTTATTCTACAAGATTATAATGAGAGTGAAGGAGGATCTGAGGGAAGTCCTGCCTTAGCACTTGGCCACCAACAGGTGCCCCCCCCAACACGAGTCCGCCCCGCCCTGCCCCGCCAAGGTCAAACACCATCCCTGATGCGGTCCTCAATTAAATAGAGTTTGACACCCCTGGCACCAGTGTAGAAAGCAGGAGACGCTGAGTTCAAGTTCTGCCTTAGCCATGAAAGTCAGCTGGGTAACCTTGGGGCCAGTCCCGGTCTTTCAGCCCAACCCACCTCACAAGAGTTGTTGTTGTGGAGAAAACGGGAGGAAGAAGGAGCATTAGATGTATTTGCCATCTTGAGTTATTTGTAAAAAAAATATGAAGGTGAGACATAAATTAAATAGAGTATAAATAAAGTATAACTATATAATTTATCCACAGATTCCACATGGGGTCACTAGCTTTCGGCTCTCTTATCCTCACCATCGTTCAACTGATACGCATGGTACTAGAATATCTGGACCACAAGTTCAAAGGCAAGTGACAAACTGTCTTGACTTGATGACCAAATAGCCGTTATGGGCAGATCATCAGTTGGGTCAAGGATCGCTGGACATGACCGGGGTGAACCGTCTTTCAAAGTTGGGAAGGGTTTGGGAGAGGGAATTCAACTGCTGGGTGACAACAATACATTCTCCATTTTCATGCAGTCAAAATAGGGATAGAACTGCTTGCATACAGCAGGAGCTCCTATATATCTGCACCTTGTCTAGCATGTAGACAGATTGTCACTCACAGGCAGGGGTGGGCTTCAAAAAGCTTAGCAAGGATGGCTTCCGGTTTGAAGTTTCTTCGGCGACAGACAGAAATCTGCGATCGTGCATGGTTTTGGTCTGGGCTCGCCGCTGGAGCGCCCCGAGCCGGCTGGTTTCGGGGCTAAGCCACCCCGTAGAGGTAGTGAAAAGGGGGGAGACCGCCAGCAGGGTTGAGGAGAGCTGCATCTCTCCTCCTCAGCTGGCCATTACTCCCTTTCCCAAAGGCGGTTTCAGCGGTGGTCGTGGCCTAGTCACCTTCCTGCACCATGGCCGGGGGGAAGTTTTTGCCCTCCCTGGGCTCCAAAGGCTTTCCTTGAGTCTCCAGGAGGGTGAACATGGCCTCCCCAGGCTCCAGAGGCTCTCTGGAAGCCAGAAATGGGCCCGTTTCTGGCCTTTCCAAACTTCTGGGAGGCCCATTTTTCGCCTTCTCTGAGCCTCCGTGTGCGCCCTGCACTTTCCTGGATTCAAAACTCCCGGGAGGGGTGGGGTGGGCGGGGCCAGCCAGGATTGGGATTTGGCGGTTCTCTGACCTGCACAAAATCTTAGCTAGGGGCTCTCCTGAACCCCTGCAAACCTACCCCTGCTTACAGGGCTATGTTAAACCTAGATTTTGCGCCACCATTGCAGATTTTGAAGTGGCTTACTTCCTACCAAACCACTTCAGAACAATAGTCTGAAAAAAATAGCAGCAATAGCAGTTAGACTTATATACTGCCCCTTAGTGTGTCACAGTACTCTTTGAGAGCCGTTTACCATGTCAGCATATTTCCACCCAACAATCTGGATCCTCATTCTACCGACCTCGGAAGGATGGAAGGCTGAGTCAACCTTGAGCCTGTCAGGATCGAATTCCGTACTGTGGACAGAATTTGCCTGCAATGCTGCATTCTAACCGCTGCACATCAGGGTTCTTCCTCCCATAGCAGCTCAGCCCATATCCTGAGGGTTAAACCGGGATATAATCATAGCCATGTCTGTGGAGATTCTCAGTCGTCCAGATTTGACTGCTTATTGTACCGTATGACTATCATGAAGTGCTGTACTTTATGATTCTTGACGAGTGTATCTTTTCTTTTATGTATGCAGAAAGCATTTGTACCAAGACAAATTCCTTGTGTGTCCAATCACACTTCGTCAATAAATAATTCTATTCTATTCTATTCATGGTTGTCTCAAAGGTGCCTTTTCAAAAGGCAGCTGGACTGGTGTTTTTTTTCCTTGAGAAAGAAGAAGAAAACACTTCCCCCCTCATCCAAGAAGCTTTATCAGTTCTGGCAGGATCAGAAATTGATTCTGTCAGAACTGATGAATCATCAGAACCGATGAAGCTTCCTAGATGAGAAGCGAAATGTTTTCTTCTTCTTCTTCCTCAAGGGGAAAAAAAACCAGGCCAATTGCCTTTTGAAAAAAAAACATTTTTCAGACAAAAGCCATGTCGGTCTTACTGTGCTTCTAATTCTGCTTTGATATTTGCAGATTCCGAAAATCCAGTTGCCAAGTTTTTTCTATGCTGCCTGAAATGTTGCTTCTGGTGCTTGGAGAAATTCCTCAAATTCCTCAACCGTAATGCTTACATTATGGTGAGTCATGGCTGCTATTATTAAACAATTCAGGTTTTCTTAAAAGTACCAATAGCAATAACACTTAGACCACCACACAGTGCTTTACAACCCTCTCTATGCGGTTTACAGAATCAGCATATTGCCACCCAAAAATATGGGTCCTCAATTTATTGACATGGAAGGATGGAAGGCTGAGTCAATTTTGAGCTGGTTAGAATTAAACTGCCAAACTGCAGGCAGCTGGCAGTCAGCAGAAATAGCCTGCAATACTGCATTCTAACCATAGCGCCACCATGGCTCATATGGTATATGATGGCAGTGATGGCTAACACTGCCATTAAACTAAACCACAGTGGCTGGCTTAATTATGAAATAAACCAAACACTTTGGCAAAGCGTGTGTGTGTGTGTGTGTGTGTTAAACTAATCAAAATCTTGAGTTCCAAGCTTTTTCCTCCAATGAATCAGTCATTCAAATGGTGTGTGTGTGTGTATGTGTGTAGCCAGGTGAGAAAGGAGAGACGGATAACATTGAGGTTTCAGATTATATGGACGGGAGATATAGAACCATCTCAACCCATATTAAAAACCAGGAAGAAATCTGGTGCTTTCAGAAGGCAAAAAAGAGAAGTCTTATAGTTCCCTCAGAAATGTAACATCATTTGGAAATCCTCACAAAAATAGAAGGACACTTTGATTTCCACAATGGATGAATGGCTGCAAAAGTCGGAGTTAGCAGAGATGGCTAAATTGACACCTTTGATTAAAGAAAACAACAACACACAATTACTTTTGTTTCTACTTTGAGACCACTTCTGGACTTTATGCTTGAGGTGGAAAAAAAATTTAAACTTTGGTTTTGGGTTTTACCAATTAGATAGGTTCATCGTTATAGAAATGGCTAGTTTATAACACTGTGTAAAAGTAGAAAGTTGTCGTTTGAGGCCATTATCTTATTGCAGCAAAAGGAGTTGGGAAGAATGGAATGGAATGGAATGGAATGGAATGGAATGGAATGGAATGGAATGGAATGGAATAGAATAGAATAGAATAATAACAGAGTTGGAAGGGACCTTGGAGGTCATCTAGTCCAACCCCGTGCTCAGGCAGGAAACCTATACCGTTTTATAGGCGTAAGTCAATTTTCCCCTTTTCCTACACTTTTCTCTTCTCCCTCTCTTACTTTCCCGCTATTATTATTATTATTATTATTATTATTATTATTATTATTATTATTATTATTATTATTATTATTATTATTATTATTATTATTATTATTATTATTATTATTATTTTGTATTTTATATTGTAAACTAATTTTTAAAAATCCTCCATTTCAGATTGCCATTTATGGTAAGAACTTTTGTGTGTCAGCCAAAAACGCCTTCAATCTCCTGATGAGGAATATTATGAGGTAACCAAGTTGGCACAGTGGAATCCCTCAGACAACCTGGCCAAGGAAGGAGGGAAATTCAATCTCCATTTCGCCTTTCTCTTCTTCTCAATGCAGAGTCGTAATCCTGGATAAAGTCACAGATCTGCTGCTATTGTTTGGGAAGCTCTTGGTGGTTGGAGGAATCGGCATCCTGTCCTTTTTCTTCTTCACGGGGCGAATCCCCATTGAGAATCCCCGGTTCAAATCCCCAGTACTCAACTACTACTGGTTGCCCATTCTGGTATGTCATGGTGGTTGTTTGGTGGGCAATTACATGGCTTCTTCCTACCTCCTTCAAACCTTCTTAAAACAATTTTGGACAGGGAAGATCCAAAATTGGGATCTGAGGGCTGAGGTACATGACCATCACAGAGTCTGGAATTATGGTCATAAATCATTGAAGTCATAAATGGAGGCATCCCGTGACTGAATCCATTTTTTGTGGCAGTTATTAGGTAAATGCTGTGGTCATTAAACAAACGCCGGAGTCGTTAAGCAAATCCATTTTACCCAGTGACCATATTTTTTTTTTGCTGGAAAGCAGAAATAAATGACAGAAACTGGCAAAAAAAAAAAAAAATCATAGTTGTAACTGTGGGACACTGCAAGTGGCTGCAAAGGTGAGCTGGATGCCACATGGGATCGTGTGTGTGTGTGTGTGTGTGTGTGTGTGTCCATTGCAACTTTGTAAATGAGTCATAAGTAGCTTTTAAGGGGGTATCCATCGTTAAGCATCTGGTTCTACATCAAGGACTATCTGTGGTACATACAGAATATTAAATCTATGAAAAGATTCTGCAGGCCCCTAATCCCAAAATGAGTTGGCTGGCATAAAATTGCATGGAATTGGTAGAGAAAAAAAATGATGCTTAGGGTGGTAAGAGTGGAGAGAAAGAGTCAGAGAAACTTTAGCAAAGTGGTAGAAAACGTCATTAGTAAACTAGTGTCTTAGACCGGAGGCAACTGTGAACTGCTTCCTGTGTTCTTCAGACATGGTACAGTTGATAAGGGAAAGAATAGAAGGAAAGAGTGGTGATGGCGAACCTATGGCACAGGTGGCACGCAGAGCCATTTTGCCAGCATGCGAGCTGCAGGCAGACTTACCTCACTGTGCATGCACGCGCCTCACAGCTGATTTTTGGCCGGTTTGAGGCCTTTCTTGGCCTCCCAGAGGCTTGAGGAAGGCTTCTGCAGGCTTTTCAGGATGAAAACTAGGTCTGTTTCATCACTTCCTGTTTTTCCGGAAATACTGGAAGTGACGAAACGGGCCTACTTTTCGGCCTGAAAAGCCTGCAGAAGCCTTCCTCAAGCCTCTGGGAGGCCGAAAAAAGCCTCAAATCGGCCAAAAATCAGCTGTGAGGCGCAGTGCAGGTAAGGGGGCAGCGGGGGTGGGTGGGGATTGCGCACACCTGTGGGGGGCATGGGGGGCACACATTGCCTTCTAGATGCTGGCACATGAGTGCAAGCATGCGCACAATTTTTGGCAGAGGAGCCCAAAAAGGTTAGCCATCACTGGTATAGGATCTCCTGTTTGAACGGGGTTAGACTAGAAGACCTCCAAGGTCCCTTCCAACTGTGTGATTCTGAATATAAATTGCGAACCACCAATTGGCATCTTTAAGAACATGGCTGATAGGAATATCGTAAAGTGAAAAGCATCCCACGGTATTCTAAAACTGAAGTCTCACCATCTTCCAGTTCTCTCTCATTTCTTTCCTCTCTTTCTTTTACTTTAGACCGTGGTTGTAGGTTCCTACCTCATCGCCCAAGGATTCTTCAGTGTCTACAATATGTGTGTTGACACCTTGTTCCTCTGTTTCTGTGAGTATTCCTTCTCACATCTCTGGATCTCATTTCCCTAAGAGCAATATTTCTCAAAGTGTGGTCCAAGGAACCTTGAGGGATCCCCAAGATCCTCTCGGGGGCCTATGAGATCAAAATTATTTGCCAGCCTTAATAATACAATATTAAAATCCCATAGAACGATGGTGAGACGTGGTAGTGGTCGCAAACGCATTAATTTTAATATTTGATACAATAAATATCAATACATATGAGCCATATAAGGAAACATGGCAGCTCAGTGTCTTAAAAGACACTGGAGAAGGTCTATACTCCGGTGGTTCAAATCCTACCACCATGTGACGGGAGTGAGTTCCCGTTCCTTGCGTCTTCTCCTGCCAACCTAGCAGTTGGAAAGCATGAACAGTAAATGCGAGTAGATAAATAGGTACCACTTCATGGGAAGCTAACAGCTTTCTGTGTTATGCTGTGTGCTTTGAACTGTGGCGTGATGTCATGCTGGCCACAGGTCCGTGGAAACATCTTCATCTTAAAGTAATGGAGATGAGCACTGCCTCCTAAATTCAGCTACAACTAGTGGTGTTAAACCTTTACCTTTTCATAACTCATACAAACAAAAGCTCTTTTGCGGGGGTCAACCATAATTTTTAAAAGCGTGGGGGGGGGGAAACAGTTTAAGAAACATTGCCCTAGAGAGTATACCAGCCTTCCCCAATCTTCCCCCTCGAGATAGGTTGCAGCTGCTCCAATTTGGGGTTTCGTCACACATATACCTGGTGCTCTGGTGAAAGGTAGTGGATTTGGAGGAGGGAGTCTTGAGTTCTAATCCTGCCCTGGGTATCAAACTCAGTATGTCTCCTTGAGCTAGTCTTAGTCCCTAAGAAGACATTCCTGGCAAATCAACCTGTGGAACGGCTTCCCTTCAGAAGTTATGGGTGCTCCACAGGGGTGGGACTCAAAAATCCCAGCAACCTGTTTGTTGCATGGTTGCTGGGTGGGCGTAGCCTACCGGAACTTCCTGTTTCTGGCTTCCGGTAGGCCTCCAGAGCCCGTTTTTCCCTCTCCCAGAGCCTCCGTGCAGACCCTGCACTTAACCTCCATTGAAAATGGACCGTGTGGAGATTCTTGGGAGGGGAGAGATGGGGTGGGCAGGGCCAGCCGGTCAGTTGAAATACTGGTTCAGTGAACCAGATGTAACTTTAACATCCGGTTTGCCCAAACCAGTAGAATCCCACCCCTGGTGCTCCATCACTGGAGGTTTTCAAGAAGAGATTGGACAGCCATTTGTCTGAATTGGTATAGGGCAGGGGTGGCAAACTCACGTCATCCCAGCGGCATCATATGACTTATCAGGACTTTTTTCCCATGGGTGTGGCCAGTGCATGACGCATCCGGCCCACAGGCTGGGAGTTTGACAGCCCTGGGATAGGATCTGTTCGAGCAGGTTGACTAGAACAGTAGCCCCCAACCTTTTTTGTGCCGCGGCCCGGTACCGGCATCACAAAATGATCCGCGGCCCGGTACTGGCATCAGCACGCATGACAAGGCAAGGCGAGCCGAGCGACCAGCCAGCCAGCCGTCCCCCGCTTCTCCCCGCCACCTTCAACTCCTCCTTTGTACCTTTGTCGATGGGCTTCGCTTCGGGACGGCTTCAGGACGGTCGCTCAGCTCGCCTTGCCTTGGGTGCTGAAAGAATCCTCGCGCCTTAGTTTCGTTCGAAGCCGCCCCCTTCGATGAAACTAAGGCACGAGGATTCCTTCAGGACCCAAACGCCGCTTTCCAACCGGAAAAGCTCACCCGGAAGCACTTTCTCGTCAAACAAGATGGTGGCACCCAGCAAACCGGCGGCCCGGTAGGAAATGTTCCACGGACCGGTACCGGTCCGCGGCCCGGTGGTTGGGGACCCCTGGACTAGAAGATCTTCAAGGTCTGTTCCATCTCTGTTATTCGATGTACTTTTATGAAAATGTTGCTAAGAGAATTTCAGGGGGGTTGTCCATGGAGTCAGCAGGTATCAAGGACCAGGAGGGTCTCAAGTTGGAGAAGAAATGTATCATACTAGCCAACCTTCTCTTTATCCCCGTAGTGGAAGACCTGGAGCGAAATGATGGTTCCCAAGAAAAGCCGTATTACATGTCCAAGTCTCTTATGAAGATCCTGAACAAGAAAAACCAGAAGGCTAAAGACAAATAGAAAAACCTGGGGCTGGAGGAAACTCATCAACTTATGTTATTGGTCCCTATCATTTCTTCATCATTTCTTTTCGCCCATATCGGAGACAACTTAATGTCTCTTGCCCTTCCCCTTCGTACAATGTTGTGGATTTCCACGACTTGAAACTCTTCCTCATTTTATTTTATTTTGGGTTGCCATATTTTGCCATTCGCAGAAAGCAACCCCGTTTTATAAAACAAGCACGTTGCTGTGTATTGCGCAGATGGACTATTTATGAATAATTGATCTATTTAATTTATCTCTGGTGCCATGGTCTCTTTGGAATCCTTGTTTTGATCTCCCGTCTTCCCAAACCTTTTCTGCTTCGGAATAGACCACTCCGCTTCCTTGGTTTGGGATCATTCAACCTATCGCGGCTGTTTTGCCTTTGTTTTGGTCAACTGTCTTTCTGATGGGTCAAAATCAGGGCTCTTTTCATAGTCTTCGATTGTCCACCTGCTCCATTTGTAAAATACAACGCTTTTTTAGCTACATTCCAGGCCAAACCAGGCAGTGGGGAACCACCACGAAGCTCCTCCTTAAAACGTGTCCTTCAGAAGCACATCTTCTCCTGTGGCTACCATCCTTGTGTGGAACGATCTCAGAAAAGTCCTGCTTCCCTGGCACGTTGAGTGGATACCCTATGGAAGAGTGTCTTGGACCAGGTGTCCAGATGTTCCGAATGTGAACTTCCGAGCAGGAGTCGGGAGTCCAAATCATTTCGATTGCTCGGTCCATCCTTCTTCAGCTTCGGTGACTGTTAGAACCTGGTTGGCCTTTCAGATATACTTGGAGCATTTTCTAAAGGGCTGTTCCTACTGTCTCCTCTGATTTATATTTTTATCTTTGACTATTTTTAGAGGATTAAGTCCTGTGTGTTGTTGAATTCCTGTTTCTGACTCCTTCTCCGACCAAAGACTTTTCTGAAACTGGTAATTATTCCAACCTGCCATCTTATATTTCAGATCAAATTGTTTTTGTTTGTTTTTTCCTGTAGAGCCAATTCCATTTCTGAAAGTCTTACTGGTGGAATTGTTCAATATTGCACTGGCCAAGCACCAAATGACAAATGGTTTTCGGTATGCTGAATGTTGGCCATCTTATTTCCTAAGTGCCTTTGTGGATAAACTCCATTTCTAATATTGCAATGCCAACATTTGGCCTGAGTTTATGATTTACAAACCAGCTTAATTCACACCAACTTCCTGTCATCTCTATTTTTGCTTTGTTTCCCTCACTTTTATCTTTCTGCAGTCTTCTGCATTGGTTTTCCTCTTTTTTTTTTCTTTCCAGGGTATCTCTTGCCATTAAAAAAAAAAATCATAAAAACAATATTATGGCAAGACGCAAAGGACAACCTCTGCTCTTCGGATCAATTTATATCTTATGCAAGGGTGCCATTTCAGGCATTTTCTGTACATACCTTTTTTCTCGTATGTATAAAAATGAAAAGAAATTGTTTTATACAAAGAATATGTGCAATTAAATATGATTTTAAATAACAGTGATTGCGGTCTTCTGTTCGTTGACTCTCTCGTTTTGCTAATAAGAGTTTACCTAGTTCCAGTAATCCCACTCTTTTATTTTATCATAGCTCCTGATTATGAGTTCAGGACAGTGGTGGGATTCAATTTTTTTACTACCGGTTCTGTGGGTGTGGCTTGGTGGGCATGGCCGGGGAAGAATACTGTAAAATCTCCATTCCCTCCCCACCCCACTAACCTGTTTCCCAGCTCCATTCTCCTGTGCAGGGCAACCAAAGAAGACCCAGCTGATCAGCTGGGACTCGGGAGGCAGAGAATAGATGGGGCAGGGCCAGTCAGAGGTGGTATATGTTGGTTCTCCAAACTACTCAAAATTTCCACTACTGGTTCTCCAGAACTGGTCAGAACCTGCTGAATACCCACCTTTGGTTCAGGAGCAAAGGACAACTGGGTGACTTTGGGCCAGTCATTCTGTCTCGGCCCAAATCACCTTATGGAACGTCAGTGGAGCTTCTCCGTCATCCAGGTCATGATTGTCCTAAAGATGCCTTTTTAAGAGGCAACTGGACTTTCTAGAACAGGGGTGTCAAACTCAAGGCTTGCAGGCCGGAGCTGGCCCTCAGGGTGCTTAGATCTGGTCCATGGGACCGGCCTGGAAACAGCAAAGGACCAGCCCGCAGTGCTCCTGCCAGCAAAAACGGAGCTCAGGAGTCACGACAGCCTCCTGCAGCGCTCTGCCAGCTTATGGCCAGAGGGCTAGCATAATGAACTAAAAACAAAACAAAAAGATAAATGTTTCCCCCTTTTGCATTTGACCATGCAAGGGATGGGAAAGGAGAGAGGGAAAGAGGGAAGACAAAGAAGGGAAGGTGGGAAGAGAGCAAGGAAGGGAAAATAAGAGGTGAAGGAAGAAGAAAGAATGAGTGAAGGGGGAAAAGGAAGATAGGAAGGGGAAGAAAGGGAAGGAAGGGAAGGGAAGGGAAGGGAAGGGAAGGGAAGGGAAGGGAAGGGAAGGGAAGGGAAGGAAGGAAGGAAGGAAGGAAGGAAGGAAGGAAGGAAGGAAGGAAAAATTATGAGAGTCTCAAGGGAAGTTCTGCCTTAGCACTTGGCACCACAGATGCCCCCGACACAAGTGCCTCCCCTAGCCATGGCCACCCCAGCCCTTCAGAGATCAAACACAACCCTGGTGGGGCCCTCAATGAAATCTACTTTGACACCCCTATTCTAGAAAGTTCAGTTGCCTCTTGAAAAAGTATCTTTGCGTTACCTCACAGAATTGTTATTGAGGGGAAACTAGGAAGAGGAAGGAGTATTTTTGTGTTTGCCGCCTTGAGTTTGTAACAACAATAATAAAGGCAGGATACAAATAAAATAATAATAAAGGAACCAGGGAAGCTGGGTGCCAAGAGATGGGACAAGGGAGAGAGAGCACGGAAGGTGACAGACTAGCGCTTCTGGAAACTCAAGTCCAAACATCTTCCAAATTGCCACGTTGGAAAAGCACTATTGTAATTGGTCTAATTGATAGTGAAGGCAGACCTGTAAATACCCGCGGCTTTATAGATCAAAACCAGCAACTAAAATTATACCCAGAAATCATGTGGCAACCAGTGCAGGGACCCACAAATTGTTTCTTTTTCACAATGCCAGGGGTGTCCAGTCCATTTGCCAGCCCACTGGACAAACTGCAATTTTCAGTCTTTAAAGGCAGCCCCATATAAATCACCTTGCAATATTCTGTCATGACAGACTGAATCTCTGTAGCAATAGCAATAGCACTTAGACCTATATACCGCTTTGCAGTGCTTTACAGCCCTCTCTCAGCGGTTTACAAGGTCAGCCTATTGCTCCCAACAGTCTAGGTCCTCATTTTACCGACCTCGGAAGGCTGAGTCAACTTTGAGCCTGGTGAGATTCAAACTGCCAAATTGCAGTCAGCTGGCAGTCAGGAGTAGCTTGCAGTACTGCACTCTAATCACTGCGCCACATGGCTCAGGTAGCCAGATCCTTTTATGTCAGTAGCCAGAATTGGTGTATCAACCCAAAAGTTTCTTTTAGTTGAATAATTCAGGGAGTGGGGAAAAAGTTTGGTCCAGCAGGGCCTCCAAAGCTTGGTGAAAGACAGTATAATGCTCTTTTATATACAGCTAATCCTCGATTTATGGGACACGGTGGCTCAGTGGCTAAGACGCTGAGCTTGTTGATCAGAAAGGTCAGCAGTTCAGCGGTTCGGAGTGACGCGTAACGGAGTGAGCTCCCATTACTTGTCCCAGATTCTGCCAACCTAGCAGTTCAAAAGCATGTAAAAAATGCAAGTAGAAAAATAGGGACCACTTTGGTGGGAAGGTAACAGCGTTCCGTGCGCCATCAGCGTTTAGTCATGCCGGCCACATGACCACGGAGACGTCTTCGACAGCACTGGCTCTTTGGCTTTGTAACGGAGATGAGCACCGACCCCTAGACCTGGAAACGACTAGCACATATGTGCGAGGGGAACCTTTACCTTAATCCTCGATTACAACCATAATCAAGCTTGTTCATTACAGTCATAAATTGTGACAAGTCATAAATCCCGTGACCAAGACAATCTTAGAATGTTTGTCTTGCAGCAGTCGTTAAGTGAATCACCATGACCATTAAATGAATGCATGGTTGTTAAGTGAATACCACACCATCGTTAAGCAAAACCACAGGGTGCTGTAAAACAGGGGTCCCCAACCACCGGTCCGCGGACCGGTCCCGGTCCGTGGAACAAATCCTACCGGGCCGCTGGTTTGCTGGGCGCCACCATCTTGTTTTCATGAAAAAGTGCTTCCGGTGAGCTTTTCCAGGTAGAAAGCTCACCGGAAGCACTTTTTCATCAAAACAAGATGGCGGCGCCCAGCTGATGCCGGTACCGGGCCGCGGCATAAAAAAGGTTGGGGCTACCGGGCTGCGGCATAAAAAAGGTTGGGGACCACTGCTGTAAAAGGTCTTAAATGCAGGCTGGTTGCCAAGCCCCTAAAATGCGGTCATGTGACTGTGGAAGAAAGGGGAGGGAGCGGCTATTTGAACTTTGCAACTGGGTCGTAAGTAATCTTTTGGGGAGTCCATGGTAGCTTAACGCAGCCCGCTGGCAAAGAGGCCTTGGCTCGGTAGTGGGTCATGGCACACTGGTTGGGGACCCCTGAGCTACTCCAGCCCCATGCTTGAGTAGGAGAGTCTAGTCCCGTGATGGCGAACTTATGGCACATGTGCCAGAGGTGGCAAACAAAGCCCTCTCAGTGGACATGCGCACCATCGCCAGCTGCTCTTCTGGTTTCTGGCTGTTTTCTGGTGTTTTTCAGGCCGTTTTCCAGACCATTTTCTGGGCTATTTTCTGGGCTATTTTCCAGGGAGTTTTCATGCTGTTTGGGGGCCATTTTCATGACATTTTCCAGGGAGTTTTCAGGCTGTTTTGGGGCCATTTTCACGACATTTTCCAGGGAGTTTTCAGGCTGTTTTGGGGGCATTTTCACGACATTTTCCAGGGAGTTTTCAGGATGTTTTGGGGCCATTTTCACGACATTTTCCAGGGAGTTTTCAGGCTGTTTTGGGGCCATTTTCACGACATTTTCCAGGGAGTTTTCAGGCTGTTTTACAGCTAACCCGGGGCCGGGCTGCTGGGGGTTCACAGGGGTTCAGGAGAGCCCCTAGCTAAGATTCTATGCAGTTCGAGAACCCCCCAAATCCCACTCCTGGCTGGCCCTGCCCACCTCGCCCTGCCTCTTCCAGGTGTCCCCACACAGCCTGTTTTGGATGCAAGTATGGGTACAGGGTATGTGTGGATGCTTGGGGAGGGTGAAAAATGGGCCTCCCATAAGTGCTGGAAGGGTGGAAATGGGCCTGTTTCTGGCTTCCAGAGAGCCTCCAGAGCCCGGGGAGGCTATTTTCGCCCTGTCAGAGGCTCAAGGAAAACCTCTAGAGCCTGGGGTGCGCAAAAACACCTGCCCCCATCATGGTGCAGGAGGCCGACTCGGCCACACCCACTCAGCAACCAGGCAGAGAACCCTTTTCTAAAACTTTTGAAGGCCACCCCTGAGCTCATTCCACGGATGGTGAACCTTCTGATTTGGAGCCGCCGCCTCGTGTTTTGTTTCTGGTCTGATCTAGAATGGGCCACCCTCTCCTGAAAAAAACAAACAAACAACCAAAGGAACCCCAGAAACATCCGAGAAGGTTTCATATTGTCATTTTAATTTATTTCAGGCAGTGAATTCCTAAAAGCAGCAGTTTCCAGCTTGCAAAATCTTCTGAGGAGATCTCCCCTCACTACAGGTAGAGAGGTAATCCCATCGAGCAACCCATACTCTCCCTCCCCAAGCAATGAAAAATCAAAACACCGGCCCATTCGATCAATCACCCGCTGCTGCTCCTTTATTTCCATTCATCCAGTGACCACTTCTCCTTCTTTGGCATCTCTTATTCTTTGGATCCTGGAGGTCGGGTTCAAATGGGAGGAAGCAGGAGATGGCCTGAAAATGAGAGGGAAAAAAAAACCACACGCATTATTATTGCCTTTGGAGGACTCCCTGAATCATTTAAGTGTTGCAGATTAGTTGTTGCTTAAAGCCTAGGAAGGAATGCTGGAACTTCCGGTTTGAAGGGCCTCGGCGACAGACAGGAATCCGCGATCGTGCGCGGTTTCTGCTTGGGCTCGCCGCTGGAGCGCCCCGAGCCGGCTGGTTTCGGGGCTAAGCCACCCCATAGAGGTGGCAAAGAGGGGGGAGACCACCAGCAGGGCCGAGGAGAGCCGTATCTCTCCTCCTCAGCTGGCCAAACTCCCTTTCTCAAA